GGAAAGAGCAGGCAGGGTAGCTATCCGAGTTTGAGCCCCACCAGCGCCTCAGCACCTGAATTTCTGTCTCAGGATCATTGTCCGGGCCCCGCCACCCTCTCCTTCGCACCAGCCTGAGCCTGTGTGACCCTTACAGCTGACTTGTGAAGCAAGCCAGGAAGCTGAGGCTCTGGGAGGGGAGCTGAGTTGTAGAGGGCCACACGGCCAGTGAGGGGACTTGAACCCAGGCCTTCTTCCTCTCCTGCTGCTGCCACATGCTCTTGTCAAATCTAGGATCATTGTGTCTCTTTTACAGGTGGGGATACTGAGGCCCCATTTGTAAAGGTGCTTCAGAGGGTAGGGCAAGAAGTCGTGAGGAGACCTTCCCAGTTAAAACCTAAGTCGTGAGAGAGAAACATCCTGGGCAGTGGGCCTGGCAGCCTCTGAGTGGCTCTGTCCGGAAGTCAGATTGAGAAAGGCCTGGAGGGGAGGCTATAAACCCTGATAGTCAGCCTAGCCAGGCTGGGGCTGCTGGGAAAGCACAGGGTGTAAGCCGAGGCCAATAGGACACTGAACTGACTCAATCCTCCCCAGAGCCCAGCCCCAGCTGGCACCTGACATGTGGGCTCTGCCTATCAGCAAGCCAGCAGCGCCAGGCATGATCTCCACACATTAGCCACAGCCAGCCTGGACCTGCCGCCCCTTCCCACTCCCACCTGGTCTGCTTGTTCCATGATGCCCCTCACCCTACCACCAAAACGAACAAACATACAAACACACACCAAAAGCAGCAAATGACCAAGAATTCAGCTCTGGTCAATAACCAAGTGAGCCCTCAAATCTATGAACAGCCAGCCGAAGGGATGGGAAGAGGGGTATTATCTCCAGAGTGCTTTCAGGCCACTGTGGTGTGCAGAGACAGGGCTTGGTAGCTGGGACTGCTGGGTACCTGCTGCTGAGCAGGTGGGTGGGGTGCTCATTTCACTGTCATGCTGGAGGGTTTCCTATATGAATGTAAAGCTAAGAGGGTCGTGAGATAGGGGGCTGAGGGCACCTTCGCCACCTCCAACCGTCTCAGGGCCCTGAGAGTCCCTGTGAACCCAGTGCCTGGGGCCCTCCCTTCATTAGGTTTGTGAGGCCAGGGAACCCCCAAACTTGAGGCTCTGCCCCAGTCTGTCCTGTCCCTCTTCGTGGGATCTTGGGCAAGTCATTCAGCATTGCCAGTAGCTGATAATAAACAGGACAGTCTGGTATTTTTGTTTCCTGTCCCACAAAAACAAAGGCTCATAAATAACTTTTTAACCTGGAGTACAGTGCTTGATTGGAAAAAATATTAAATAAGGCAATGACATATCTTAGTGCAAATAAAACCTCCCAAGGAGGCTGGAAGCAACAGGCATGGGGCACCTTGAGCGTGTCGTGGATTGTGTATGGATTCCTCCTCCTCAAACCCTGTCTGAAGCTCAGGCTTCTAAAGAACTTTCAGTGTGAAGAACAGAGCGGGGGCCTAGTGTGCAGGGAGATAGCTAATGTGGCATTTTCTTCAACGTGCTGCACAGCTGCTCTGTGGTAAGACAATTTCTTAAAAAAGATACTATAAAAGCTCCACAAACAATAAGTGCAAATTATGTGAGATGTTCAAAGATATAATTATTAAAACTATTTTTTTCCATTTCCCCCTGATGATGGTGTTTGTTTGGGGATGATCTCACAGCCCAGCTTTTCACTTAAAATATTTAACATTTATACCTCATTTTTTCACCTGTAAAAAAAAAAAAAAAGTATATTCCTGCCTGGTCTCTTTCCTTCTAGGGGCAGATGAGAAGGTAGATGGTGGCTGGAGGTGAACACAGCCCACAGAGAGCAACGCCAGAGGCACTTTAATGAGCACTGACTACGTGCCAGGCATTGGGTCACACACCTGACACGTACAATCTCATGCATTCCTTATGGCAATTCTGTAAGGTAAGAACCATTATTATCTCCACTTCATAGATGAGGCAACGGAGACCCAGAGAGGGGTAGTCACTTGCCCCAGGTGACAAAACCCGTGGCAGAGCCAGTTCTTGAGTTTGGGATCAGGAGCCCTAAGCTCCCACTTGGAGGTTACAACGGCATTGCCTCTCCAGGCTGTTTCTGCCAGCGCCCCCTGCTCCACTTGTATGACTCTGGGTCTAGAACATGGCAATTTCTGGGAGGATGGGGACCAGGGCTGAGTGCCCGAGGGCTCCCCCACACCCACTCTACCCGGCTCCTCAGAAGCAGGTAGTTTCCCATCCTCAGCTCTGGTCACAGGGCAGAAAGGGGAACAGACACCCCCACTTGACGCCCAGTACCATCTCCTCCCCACACCACAGTCTCAGGACTCTAAGCCTTTTTCCACTTCTGCTTCCTACCTTCCCCCACCCCTGCCCACATCAACAGGTTCTTCTTCTCGGGCCTCGGCCCCAAAGGGACTGAGCGTTCTCAGGGGAGCTCAGCAGGTCTGAGGTGCACATCCCTGACCTTCCATTACCTAAAGGCCAGTTGGACCCGTGCAAGTGTAACAAAGGCCATCACCTCTTAAAGGGGCTCACATTATACTTTATTGACGTGTTAAGAGAGGCAAGTACTTTCCATTTAAAATATTAACATTACATGTACTGCCCCCCCCTAACCCATGAGGAAGGGTGAGATGACTCTACGTACAGAGGAAGGGGCAGGGAGGGTGGGGACAGCAGGTCCTCGATCCCTTGCAGGGGCAATGAGATAGGTGGACTGAGTGGACAGAAGGTAGGTTATTAAGAAGCATCTTGCTTACTAACATGAAGCCTTGTGCCCTGCAAGAGAGCACAGATGAGGCCTCATTAGCTTAGAGGAGGGGCCCTCGGAGGGCAGGCACACGGTGCCCAACTAGCCAGCCAAGCCTGGCATCCCAGGGACGGAGCGGAGGTGGGGGGCCATGCACAGGGCCCCCAGCCCAGGCCTCTGATCCCCCGGCCTCCCTCCCCGCCCGCTGAGAGAAAGGGGGGTTTGGGCTTCAGCCACGGACCAACGGCCGGTACCGGCAGTGTCTCCTTAAAATAGAGATACAATGTGCATCAACAGGGTGATCACTTCTGGCCCACTTGGGCAGACGGCTAGAGGTGCCGAGTGGGCCAGAACCAATCCTACAGTATCTTTGGTTTGTGGGTTCCCTTCCCTACTTTAATCCTCCCTCTGTCCAGCCTCCAGTGCAAGCCTCCGGCTGGGACCGGGCTGCTCGATAGCCCGCAGCCCAGCCGGACAGCCCTTGGAGGGCTGCCAGGGCTGCCTACTCACTAAGGTGCTGGGACTTGTAGGAGAGGATCTCGGCAGCCAGCTGCTGGGGGTCCAGGAGCTGCGGAAAGCGCCCCATCACGGCCTCCACCAGGCGTGGGGGGAAGACTCCACACAGCTTGGTGTACACACTGGCTCGCTCCTTGGCCAGGTTGCCTGCCCCACCCCATGGGCCCCTGTCGGCCCCTGGGCCTGGCACCTGGGGCTCCTGCAGGACTGGGGTGGGTGGGGGCAGCTGGTATGGCTCTGACCAGTACTCTCGAGGTGGAAAGGCAGCTGGCGGGGGTGTGTAGTCGGCAGGGACGCTAAAGTGTCCGGCACCCACGGCCCGTCCAAAGGCAGAGAAGGCCGGAGTGGCTGGGAGCTCAGCCCCGTAGGGGTTGTAACCAGCATAAGGGCCTCGAGGGGGGCCCGGTTCACCAGGGGCTCCTCCTCGAACCCCCCACAGTTCTGACATCTGGCTCTCCAGGGAGCCAATGCCCGAGTCCAGGCAGTCCTGGGAGGTGTATGGGAGAGAATCCAGGGTCTGCGGGAACCAGTCCGTGGGCCCAAGGCTCCTGCCTGCAGTCACTGGGACAAAGGTCTGGGTCAGACCCTCTCGGTGGGACCCCGGGGTTGCCTGGGTTCCCAGCTTCTTCCCTTCCAAGCTGCATGGCTCACGCTCTGTTGGCTGAGAGCCAGGCTGAGGTGGTGGAGAAGGCCGCTGGCCACTTTTGTCCTTGCCCTGGGCCCGAGGGGGTGAGAGGAGGGCATTGGCACGGAGCTCATCAGCCACGGAGCGCTGGGGGCGGCTTGGCCGCTCGGGGTGGAAGAACCTGCACTTGATCCCATAGGTGCACTTCCTCCCTGGAAGAGAAGGAAGGGGGATTATAAGCAGGAGAGCTCCAGAACCAGGGGTGGCACAGGAAACTTGGAGTCAGGTGGTCGCCAAGAGGAAGAATTTGGGGCACGGGCCAACTTAGGAGAGAGGAATGGGAAGGAGTAAGTAAGGACGGTCATGGAGGGTGGAGCTGGGTCTCTTACCATAGGGACATGGCTGCTTCCTGTGCTCAGTTGTGAGTGGCTTCTTACGCAGGAAGTTGTCCAGGCTTGGCCCATGACGGCCCAAGGGGTCATCGGGGGGCATGAACCTGCAGAGTAGGTGGGAGATGTGAGGGGGACTTCCAAGTGCTGGTCAGGGACTGGACAGCAAACCTCATTTGGAAGGATAGGTGGGCAGCTCTTAAAACTGGTGCCCATCTAGCAGGACATCCTGGGCTCTGGGTGGAACTGCCCCAAGGGAGGGGAGGAGGTCCCAAGTCCAGAGGGACACGGCTGTGGGCACCTTTAGGGCAATCCTCATGCTGGGAGCTGAGGCCACAAGGAGACCAGCAACCTGAAAATCTGAATCTAAGGCTGTGTCCACTGGCCTCTGGTCAGACATTAAGTGCTGGGGACCAGAGAGGCTTTCTTGGAACCACTGACCACATCCTGTCACAAATGCTACTGCTCCATCCCCCTCCCTTGTCCATCTCACTTCCAAAGCTGCCTGGATCCGAGGCCACGGCCCCCAGCCCCACCTCTCCTAGGGGCACCTCAGGTTTCCCCTCAGGACCCCAAGGCCATCGGCCTCCCCGCTCTCGAGAACGCACTTGTCATTGACGAAGGAGTACATGAGCAGCCGCTCCTCGATGAAGCGCTTCCACTCCTGCCGCTCGCTCTGGAGGTCCCGGTAGGTGTCGTTGGAGACCACCACGCCGTCTGACTCGAAGGCCAGCTTCACGATGAAGCGATCGTCGTAGCACACCACCCGCTTGCCGCCCACTCGCCGCGACGGCGTGAACACCAGGATCTTCTTCTTCTCCAGTTCCCACAGGATGTGCTGGTCTGGGAAGTGGCAGGGACACAGGTCAAGGCCCAGCCTGGACCCAGAGCCAGGCCCGCAGGGCTCCCTTACCTCCTAGTGGCCAGCAAAGGGGCTCCTAGCTCCAGGTGCATGAGGGCAGGAAGGGGTTCTGCTGAGGCCACCGCCACAGCCCAGCCCCTCCCCTGAGCCTTGTGCATGGTTTGCTGCCTGAAAACCAAGGACACCTAGGAACAGGCCTGCAGGTCTGCTCAGCAAAGGCTCCAGAGCACAAAACTGGGCTTCGCCCTTTCCCCCTTCTGGACATCAGGCTTGTTCATGCCACAAGTGGGCGTAGCTCTGGTGTTCACCCAGCTGGTCCCATAGGGGTCCATGAATGAGCCTCGGTTTGAGCTGGGGCAGGAGACATGTCTTGGCTTTGTCCCCTGTAGCCAGGATAAAGCTACCAGCGCCTATGCAGAAGGGGCCACTTTTCTTGGAGTGGGTGGCCCCAGCCAGCCTGCCCGCAGATCTTAACTTCTAGAGAAATAAACTAAGTTTTTACTCCCAAAGATTGGGGGCTCTTATTGTAAGAACAATGGTGACGCCTCACATTTATTGAGCAACTACTATGTGTCAAGCACTCCTCTAAGCACTTATCATGTATTAACTTATGGGATCCTCACAACAACCCTGTGAGGTTTATCAACCTCTGACCCATGTCTCAGATGAGGAGCAGGTGGCTCAGAGCAAGGTGAGCCAGAAGGTACAGAACCAGGATTCCAGAGCCCATGGGTTCAGCCACCACACTATGCTGCCCCTGTGCCACGGGAGATGTGGGGAGAGCCTAGTACTCATAAGCAGAGGCTGCATAAGGTGACCTCCAAGGACCACTGTTCAGAGCAGGCATGCTGAGGCCAGCACAAGCTGGGAAAAGAAATGCTGGTCCCTGCTTGAGGACTAGAAGTCGTTGGTCACACCCAAAGGGTCTTTCCTGGTGAGGGCTCCCAGAGCAGTAAGACCACCTTCTTCCAGAGGTGCCACTCACCTGTGATGGGCACATCGGGCCGAGGCTGCTCCTTCCTCCAGGATGGTACAAATGCTGTGATGTCTGTGTGGCCCCGTTCCAGAAACCAGTTCACGGCCAGCAGGATGCCCCGGCAGGAGAAGACCTCCTTGTTCCCATGGCTGGAGGGAAGAGGAGGGTTGGAGTCAGCCCACGAGGGTGGCTCATCTGCTGTCCACTAGGCCTGAGCAGGAGGGAGGCAGGTCCCACTCCAGCCCCTGCCCTGGCGCAGCCCACCACCCTCAGGCTGGGGCCTAAGGCCTGCATTCCCTCCCAGATCGCACAGGGCCTGGGATGGCCAGACCCGGGACTTTCCCTGAGGTCCCATCTCCCGACAGTGAGGAAACGCCCAGGAATCTGGCAGCACTCGCTCCTCACATGGGGGAGACTCAGACCTCTTGCAACACACCTGGGGGTGGGGGAAAGGAGCAAGAGACTTCTGGTTCCTGCTCCACCCGGGGGTGCTGGGACCAAGGGGACACAGAGGTACACAAGTAGACCGAGTCGCCATTCCTCCCTCGCCGCAACCCCCTGTGCCACCACCCCCGGCTAACTGAAGAAAAACCAGATTTCTCCAGATTAAAGCTGGATTAAAGTTCAGTCCTGCACAAACCACAGAGGCTGGGACTGAGGAGGGCCAAGTGGAAGGAGCCATGATCCCAGCCTCCAACAGGATCCCCCCACACCCCGGCAGGCAGGCGGCTCCAGATGCAGGAGGCTGCCCAGAAGCCTTTCAGTTTGAAAGTGAAAGGACTGCCTTTCCTCTCAAGACTGCCAATTCCCCAAAACGCCTGCACTGCCCTGTCCTCTTCTCACTTTTCTCAGAAGGGCATGACTCGAAGCAGATAGTCTGGACCAGGGGACTCTGATAGCAGGAGAGCTAGGACCTGGGACATGCCCCTTTCCTGGTCTCAGGACCAGACTTCACCCGTCTTAATGTGGATCCAGGAAGCCCTGAGGCGCTGCTAGGTTGCTCTACCTCAGAAACAGGCCCGGTTGTCTGCAGCCTCCTTAAGAAGGGCCCATGTTGGGGGGGCAACTTTCCTGTTTGCTTGGGGCCAAAGACAGACCACCAAAGTGAGGGTCCCACTGGACTCCTGGGAGGGTGAGAGAGGGACGGGGGCTCCCAAGTAATAATGGGTATGATAGAAGGGCTCTGAGACCAGGCTGGGGGGCTGGAGGGGGCCAGCTGGGGATCCCTCCCCAACAGCTCCTGCCTCTGACTAACCTCTCAGTAAACAACTCAGACTCTCATATTTAGCAAATAAAACAGAATAAACGTTACACAAAAGAGGCAAGTCCATGGTCAACCACATCCTGTGGGTGGCTTTGGGGGCGTTGATAGCTGGAGACCCAAGAGAACGTAGAGAGGGATATGGGACAGTTGGGCACAGAGGCTGTCTGGGGGTGAGGCCAGGACTCCTGGGTCTGAAGGTCTCTGTAAATTGTACGGGAGGCAAAGTCCAGCCTGAAGGCAGTGCTCATCCCTGCCAGGTGGGGCCTCCCAGCCAGGTGCATCCGCCAGCCCACTTATGCTAAAAGTTAACATTTACTGAGAACTCTGAGCCAGGCCCTGATCTATGTGCTCAACGCTAAATCATCAGTAAGCTTCTGAGGATGGTACTATCATGAAAGGTCCCTTTTCCCCTTTATTCAGATGAGAAAACTGTGGTCTGCAGAGGGCAACTAGTTGCTAGCATCATACAGCAGCAATTGTGAAACAGAGATGCAAACCCAGAGCCTGTACTCATAACCACCATGGGTACTGATGCTCAGATAGGCGCTAACCCTGACAGTGGGGATTGAGCGGGGATTAGCAGGTACTGAGCTCCTACTGGAAGCCAGGTGCATCACATACCTCCCTTTTCCATTCCTACAAGGCTAGCTGTTAACAGGAGGAAACCAAGACTCTGACACTCATCTAAGATCCCCTGGCTAGTGGTAAGAGACAGAACTTGAACTCAAATCTGCAGCCACTAGATTACTTTCCTGTCCTTAACAGCAAGACCTGAAGTCTATTTAGAAGAAGAAAAAGCTTCCCAATTTGAACAGTGTTAAGAGGGAGGGGCAGGCAGGCTGTGGACAGGAAAAATGATGCATTTGGTAAACTCCTGCTCCTTTGTCCTGACCCATGTGAGGTGTTACCACCACTGAGAAGCCTTCTTTGACTTTCCAGGATGGGTTAGGTCCTTGGTCTGTCTTCATAGTGCCCAGTGCAGTGAGAGGGACCAAAATTAGCTGTAGGGAGGCGCTTTCCATCTGGGAGGACAGTATCTGGTGTTCTGCTTCCTCCATTGTATCACTCCCTTCTCTGGGCCTTCTGCTCTGTCTCCCCAAGACCATGGGGGTGTGATCATCTCTGGCTTGGCTTCCTCTCTCAGGTATGCAGTTTACACATGCATCCTTCTACCTCCTTCTATACACACGTGTGCACATGTATATGCCCCATCCTAGGCCAGCATCCCCAAGCCCTGGGACTTAATAGGATGCAAGGGTTTCCAGGACAGCATACTGCCTTTGGGCACCAAAACCCTTGGCTGGGGACAAGTCTGCTCTCAGCTGCTCTAGCCTCCAGAATATTCTCTTGGCAGGCAGTCAGAGCCTGACTCTTGGCAGAAGCGGAACACCAGATACTGCTCTTCCAGGCCGGAGTGCCTCCCTACAGCTAACTTTAGTCCTTCTCCCTGCAATGGAGGAAGCTCTGCTGGCACAGGAAAACCAGATATCCTCCCACTCCCACCACGGCCCTGCTTGTCTAGAAGGTCAGGGTCCCTTATCCTGGCTAACTAGACACTGGTAAGATGTGTGAATACGTAGGAGACTCCAGCTCAGCGGCTTCTACCCTAGGACAGAGGGCAGGGCCCGGCCAGGCTACCCAGGTGAAAGGATCTGCCAGGGCTGGGCCCGGCTAGAGAAAAATTCCCTTAGAAGGAAACAGAGGTGAATTTCCCCACGATTTGCATATCGTGGGGGCTGGCCCGCCTGCCCTTGTGGGGGAGGGGGCAGCAGGGCAAGAACTCAGTAGCAGCAGAGACAGGAAGTTTGAGGCTGGAATTCCCCTCCTGCTACTGCCCCAGCTCAGAAACCCCCAGCGGATCTGCCTCACCAGCCAGAGCCTCCAGCCACCCCGCCTCCACCACCTGCCCCTCCTCCCTCCCAGGCCCCTCCTCCTTCTGCCAGGATACAAACACACGCAGCACATGGCTGCCCAGGGCTCAGCATTCTGGCAAAAGCCTCAGGAGGAAGGAGTCACAGATGCATCCTGGCACCTTGCCTAGCTATACACTGCTGGGGCCTGGAAGGGGACCCCTAACTTTCAAAACACATGTGACCAGCTGCCACTGACACGTGAGAGCCAGCTTTACCTAACTTTCCACCCAGACTCAGCCCATTTCAGAGATAGGAAGACTGACCTAAAGGTGGCTAAGCTGGGCCAGGAGTGGGAGGGGCGGACGGGCCAAGATCATCCAGGCCTCAGGTAGCCCACCTGGGAGATCCCTGAGGGCAGCCAGTGAAGGAGCCCTCCCTATTCCCCACCCGGGGTCTGGGATCTCCCTGTCCACGCCCACAAGAACTCTTCCTGGTGAACGATGCGTCAGCCTTGGCTCAAGCCCTCCTCTGAGGGACTGGGAGAAAGCAAGGCCAGAGGTCTGGGCTCCCTGGGGTCAGGAGCAACCCTGGCCCCACCCCACCCCATTCTCTGTTAAAGCATGCATGGGGGGTTAGAAGGTACTGGTGCTGAGTCCTGGGTCTGGCCCTGGGGAGTTCCCAGAGTCCAGTCCACCCTAGGTGGCCCCCGCTGATTCAGAATGGACCCAAGTCACAGTTCACTTGAAGCCAAATCAACAGGCCACCCGCCCACACCCCTTGTGTAGAGTTAGATCCTCGAGGTCACTCTTGGTCACAGCTACGAAGTCCTCAGTAGCTGGGTCTGCTTCCGTGGGAGCCCAGGTCTGAGATAAGGCCCCAGGCCCTCAATAATTGTGATAACCATCGCTGTTACTATCTTCTGAGCAGTTACTCTCTCTAGGTACCACATTTCACTCCTCACAACTACCACCTGAGGAGCTGGGTTCGACCTGTCTTATGGATGAGGAAAGACAGCTCAGAGTAGGTGACTTCTGGCTCCTTCATGAGTGAGCTGGAGCCCAGTCTGATCCCCTCCACTGTACTGCCTCATGTCACAGCATTGGAACTGAGAGTGCTGGCCCTTGCGGAGAGACAAAGAGCATAAGGTGAGCTCTGGAGACGAGGACCTGAGTTCGAATCATTACTCTACCACTTCTCAGTGGCGGGACCCCCAAACAAGTCCTTGAGTATCTGTTCTCATCCCTAAAACATTCCAAGCAAACCCTCTTCCAAGAAGCCAGGAGGATGATGGGAGCCTCTTGGCACACAGTAGGGCTTCAGCAATGGTCTTTCCCTTCCTGTAGACTAGGGTGTGAGAGCAGGTCGACTCCTTCCTGAAGGCCCTTCTACTGGAGGTGCAGAGACACAAGGCCACCATTCCTAGCCACAGGCCAGGTCTTGGCTACAGAAGTGACACGTACCTCATGGCCACGTTGCTCCCGTCGATGACCACAGGCCTCAGGTCACTGCCCTCCTTGTCTTCCTCTGGGGATGAGGGCTCCAAGATGGGAGCCTTTGGGGTGCCCCCACCCCGGGGGACCAGAGGGAGCTGAGGGCAGTGGTCTGGGGAGGCCTGGCGCTCCCGCTCGGCTGCTGACCCATGTTTCACCAGCTCGCCCAGCACTGTGTTGGTGTCTGCCTGGACCCCCAGCTTCTGCAAGACGCTGTGGATCTCAGCAGATGAGTAGCCCAGCTTCCGGAAGAAGTCCACCTTCATCTGCAGTTCAGCAGCTGCTGCCTCCTCAGCAGGGGGCTCCTGGGCCAACCTGGGGGTACCTTGGCTGTCTTCAAGTTCCCACAGATTCATGGCGGAGGGGCTGGCTTTCTGCGTGGGCCTCTTACCACCAGCCACTCACAGCTCAGAATGGTGAAAGGCACCTGTCACAGCTCCCTGTAGGACAACTACAAGGGTTAGGAATGGGAAATGGCTCTTTCTCCCACCTTGCCCCACCCAATAGGATGAGACAACACTGACTAGTGGCACTATGCAAATCAATCTTCACTGGTTACCTCTGTTAGTCTTCTAACAAAAGCTCTCCCAGCTAGGGATCATCAGTCCCATTATACAAAGGATGAAACCAGCCAGACATTAAGAACTTGCTCAAGGTCATCTAGCTGATGGCTGTTGGCGCAAAGGATTTGAACTCAGGAAGTATGACTCCACCTCCTACCCCAAGCTCAGCCCCACGCCAACCCAGGGACCCAGAAAGTCTTGGGAGGCCTCAGGGGACCTCGCCGCGCCCCCATAGCTGCGGGGCGGGGCGCTCAGGTGGAAACCTGGGGTTGGACGTGCGCTGTTGTGGGGGGTGGGGTGGGTGGGGAGGAGGCCAGGGGCTTCCCCGCTGAGGACATCGCCCCCGCCCGCCCAGCGCTGGGAACCAGGCCCAGGAAACTCGGGGCTCGTGGCCAGACTCCTGGACCGGTGAAGAAGAACTTTCCGGGGAGACCCACTGGCGAGAAAAGTTGCTGGGAAACTCTGGTTGGCCGCTGGACTATCTGACGCGGAGGCTGTCCCGGCCCCGAGCTCCGCACTCCCTTGGCTCCCCCTCCGGAGCCTGACTCTCCTTCCCTTAGGTTCCCCCAACTTGGGCTAAGTTGGAAGGGATCCCGAGGACCGGCAAGGCCGGACGGGACCCGCCGCACGTTCCTCCCCGTCCGGTCGGTCCAGCCAGGGCCCTCTCCGCCCCCTCCTCTGCCCTCGCCCCACCGCGCGCGACTCACCCCGCCGTGAATCTGGCGCAGCCGGCGGCGTCTCCATGGGGCCGAGCTCCAGGAGCAAGGCCAGAAGCGTCTTTATATGAGCGGGGCCGGGCAAGCCGCGTAAAGGACCGTGACGCGGAAGCCGAGCAGGGGAGGAGCTAGTCGGCCCGAGCGGCAGGGGGCGGAGCGGACATCGCCCCTTCCTGCTCCGCACCGCCCCAGCGGGTGACCGCACGCGGCCCAGCTGGGAATAGGGTTAGGGTACGCGGAGACGCAGCCCCTTCCGCGGGCCTCCAGGCCGGGCCGCAAGGAGTTCAGAGGGGCGGGAATGCAAAGCCGGCATGCGGAAGGTAAGCACAGGCTGAACCAGGTACGCGCACCGAGTCAGGCACGACCGACCGAGATGGGTACAGAGGTGCAATGACGGGTACAGGCACGTACGTTCAGACTCTTGACAAGTACGTCCCCGACTGAGAAGGTACAGCCAGGAATGCATCGAATGAATCCGGTACACAGAGACTGGTCCACGTACCGTTGGAACTAGGTTCATAAAGATGGGTACACCCAGGCAGGCGCTTTCAGATAGAGACAGGAGCCCTCAACAGGCACATCGAGGTGGGGCCGCACTTAGAACCAGGCACGCATTTTCTGAAATAAGGACCTTACCTGGATAGAAAGGCAGGTACAACTAGCAGATGCTCAATGACGGAGGCGGAAAACCAGGCAAAGGTGCATTTACACCAGTCACCATGTGAGTGTTTACAGAGTGCTCTCTTACACAGCTATGAAACTCACGGAGGCCACCCACGCCTCCACGAAGATGCTTTTAGGTTCCCAGGTCAACCAGTCATGATCCTACATTGAACACAGCATTTTACAGTATCTACCCATGGGCTTAGGTGAGGGTGACAGGTTATTATGCAAATTTTACCCTTGAGAAATTCAGAAAAGGCTGAATTGTCCCAGCTGGAACGACATGGAACCAGGACCAGGAGCTCCCATTGCAGTATATCAGCTGCCACCTTTGCCACTTTTGAAACCACCAGTGACCTAGGACACAGGGGAGACTCTTCTGGTGGAAGGGTAAGGCCTGGGACCTGCCTTCAATTGTGTGTGTGAGTGTATGTGTGAACAAAGAGAACATGGAACCTATGGATGCTAGAGGACCAACCCTTGGCAGTGCCAGCAGCTGACTTTGCAAAAGGGGAAACTGAGGCCCAGGGAGCTAAGGTACTCAATACTGTTTCCTGTGTGTGCCAATACTTACATTTTCTCTGCCTTATCATAGACATGTATCCTATGATACATGGTTAGTATTAATGTTGTATTAATGTTGTAGCCAAAAATTGTTTATTGTAAAAGACACTGTGCACTCTATACATGTGTGGCTTAATGAATAATTAATAAAAATAAAAACATCCATATATCTATCATTAGTATTAATGTTGTAGCCAAAAATTGTTTATTGTAAAAGACACTGTGCACTCTATACATGTGTGGCTTAATGAATAATTAATAAAAATAAAAACATCCATATATCTATCACCTAACTTATGTACCTGTAATTTATTTATTATTGAATAATATTCCATTTTAGAATATACCATTGGTTATTTATCCATTCTCCTGTTATTGGATATTGTTTATAGGTGCTTTTTTTTTTTTTTCCCATTACGAAGAGTGTGCTTTGGATATTCTTGTACATATCTTAATGCAATTGTAGAGTTGAGGAAATGGATGCTCAGAGATTCAGAAAGGTGAGATCACTTGCCCAGGATCCTGGAGCTGGTGGAGCTGGAAATCACATAGCTCTAAGACCTCCATCTCCACATTGACACCTGCTTGTTCCTGGAGGCCACAGACCACCCCAGGGAGGAGGGAGTATGTATTTCTAGCTAGGTTCCGAAGCTGTACCTCTGGGCTTGCCTCACTCTGCCTAGTCAAGTCCTTGCTTTGTTCCATGGTCATCTTTAAAGACTCTAGAGTATCCCCTCCTCTGTGTCCTCCAGGGACACAGCAACCTCCTCAGATGCTCACAGCCACTCTTGCTGAGCACCGTGTATGCTGTACCCCTCATCTTCCCAACAGCCCCTCATAGAGTTGAGAAAAACTCAGTGCCGTTAGGCATTTGTGCATGGTAGTAACTACTTTTAAGAGAGGAAAAATAGTAAGTAATAAGTCCAGGTTAATAATCACAATGATAAGTCAACCACAGCGATAATGCTTCACATTTATGAAGTGCTCGCTAGGCCGCAGGCACGGTGCCAGCACCTTGCAGACATTTCCGTGTCTTTGCATCAGCCCAAGAGTGTCCTCCCCTCCTTCCCTCCCTACTGCTGCCTGGCCAGTTCCATTCATTTGTCGATGATGTCACCTCCTCTGTGAGGCCTGCGGGGACTCCTTAGATGCTGAGTTGCTTCCTCCTCTGTGTTCCCCTGTGTTTCTACGTGCTGGATTGTGATTGCCTGCCTGGAACCTCCTCTGGGGCCAGGACTAGGCTGGGACTCCACCCGTGCTCCCAGGCTTCTCGCTACCCAGCACTGTGCCAGTGGGAGCCGGCAAGACTGGGCAATGAGTCACTCAGCTCTGTGGTCTCCCAGAGTGAATGAAGTCTTGCTCTCTTCCGGCTCATAAAGCTTGCTCTTTCCTGAGAAGCCAACTCTCTTCTGCAGAACACAGGGCTGCTCCGGGGAACTCCTGCTCCACTTACAGCTGGATTTTGCAAACCTTGGCCCCAATCCTCAGGAGCCCTCTGGATTTCCTGGTGCCCAACCCACACACACCCCTCTGCCTCTTGCACGCCTGTCTCACTAGTCGAGCTTGCCAACTTCCTTCCTGGAACTTTCCTGCTCTCCTGCCACCTGCCTGCACCTGGCCAGCCTGGATGAGATCTGCAGAGCTCCAGGACTGGTCACCCCCTCATTGGGGGTGGGATGGGAGGAAGCTGGAGAGGGAAAGATCCCAGGAATTAATTATCTTTGCCTTTTGTAGCTCCACTGGGCAGCTCAGACTGGGGGGGACATAGGAGCTAGATCACCTGTGTAGGAATGGTAGGCAGACTGCCCCTGACCCTTAGCAGAGTGGCTGCAGAAGTTAAATTCAACAAGGCCTCCTCAAAGTACAGAAAGGGCCAGGTTCCTCCCGTGTTTTGAGGCTCCTGCTGTGTTTAAAAAGACTTGTTACAGTAAAGCTACAAAAAAAGAAGTACGTTTTAAACTGTAATGGAACAAATAAATTCTTTTCTTCACATATTCAATTGCAGTGCAGTATATTTGGACTATTGACAAGATAATTAGACGATTTGTTTTTAAAATTTATTATTTCCTTGGAGAAAAGTCTGGGGCAGGGAAAAGGTGAGCCTGGAACGTCTTGTGCTACCAGAGTTAGGAAGTGCTCAAAACTCAAAAGGATAGGGGTGTGTCAAAGGGACCCAGGAGCTATAAGCTCCCAATGGCCAAAGCTGCAACAATTATAGCAATAAAATAAATAATCTAATACTCATTAGATTATAACCCAAGGCATAAGATACATATCTGTGAGTCTATATGGTAGAAAAAAATGATTGAATAAACAAATAAGTAACTGGGGAAGAAGAGACAAATCTTCTAAATAATATATGTGGATTCTCCTTCCTCCAGCTTAATTAACCCTTCATCTAATAGAAACTTTACAGTGGGGAAACCTATCAGGCACCACTTTGACCAAGTGATCAAGGTCAACATCACCAATAGTACGTCGAGTGGATATCATGTGATGAGGAGGGCACTTCACTTCCCCGGTATTCTTTCCCCAAACCCATAACCCCAGAAAAAAGCATCAGACAAACCCCAACTGAAAGATATTCTACAAAATACTTGACCAAGAATCTCCAAAACTGAAAGGGGCATGAAAAGCGTAGAAAGACAGAAACAGTCACAGGCCAAAGGACACTAGGAGACACACGACTGCGGTATGGTTTCCTGGGTTGGGTCATGGGTCAGAGAGAGCATTAATGGAAAAGCTGGTTAAATTCAAATAAGGTGTGGACTTCGGTTCACAGAGACGTGCCAGCGTTGTTTTAATTTTTGATTTTGACAATGTACCACAGTAGTGTGACAGGATAACTTTAGGGGAAACTGAAACTGGGAGAGAGGTATATGGGAACTCTGTACTATCTTTGCAACTCTTGTGTAAATCTAAAATTAATGCCAAAATTAGATAGTTGATTTAAAAATATATATAATTTCATGGGCTTTACAGGTGGCATGTATTTTGGTAATAGTGCCAGATGTCTTTGTTCATTTCTATTGATATATATCCTGTGACTAAGAAGAATCATTTAGAGATGTCGTCCAAAGTCTAAACCTAGGGACTTTTTATCTGTGGGGCCCTCACCAGCTAGCTCTTCTGTTCCCCTCCCCCCTTCAGTTCATCTACCCCTGCTCCCTCTTTTCTGCACTGTTAGGGTAGGAAAGCCCCAGAAAGACTAATTAGCTCAAAACCTGTGTTTTATAGCTGGGGAGACTGAAGGTGGGAAAGGGACTTGCCGCTGGCCAAGTGGCAAGTTAATTTAGGCAAAGCTGAGAATGGGCCCAGCCAGGCTCTCTCCATCCCAAGCATCCATGGCCCCATTTGCTGCAGATACAGGGGTCAGGTGCACACAAGTGCTCAGAAATGATGGTGACCACCTGGGGGACCTGGTGAGGCAACACACCTACCTCAAGGGATGGTAGGCCCCCAGGTGTCTGTTGGAGAGCGTGGTTGCTGTGAGGTTTCCCTTTGGACTCACTGTGCACTCCCTTAACCCGTGAATCCCACCTGTCTGGAAGATCCAGGAGAGGTGGATCTCAAGGAAGGCAAAAAGGGTGAGTCTGCATGCCTGCCTTCCCCACCCAAAAGCCATTGCTGTGAAGGGGTCAGAGGGAATTCTGCAAAGCCATGAGAGTGTGCAGAGAGGTTTGGCCCCAGTCTTGAGGCTGAACACTCTCTAATCTGTACTGGGGGACACAACATTGGTGATATACTGGAAGCT